CCCTCCAGCCTGGGACAAGAGGGAAACTCTGTCTAAAAAAGAAAGACAAGAAATCAGAACTCAAGGAACCTATACAAGTGCTGATACTCTGGCTGCTGCTATGGCCATGAGTAATAAAATTATTTGTTTCTGAATCAAGAGTCTTGTGTCTTCTGGCATGAGCATCCTGAAACTGTGGCAGGCTAACCTGGTAGATTGCAAGCGGGGTAAAAACCTTTCACAGTCATTGACAGGTTCTACCTCTACTTCTAACAATCTCCATTGTTAATATCCTACTGTAGGATGATTCTGACCCCAGTACCCACCTCAACTTCCTAACCAGCCTCCCCATTTATGCCTTTGCCTTTTTGTCATGTAGTAATAGAATCTTTTTAGCAGCTTGTTTTTTCCCCCTAAAATTTGAGATCATAAACTCCCCTGCTTAAAAGTCTTTCAGTGATTTTCCTTTCCACATAGAATAAAATCTAAACTCTTTGCTATGGCTTATAAATTCCTACATGATTTAACTCTCCTGCCTATTTCTCATATCAAATCAGTCTTCCATTTAGCCATTAAACTGTAGTCATATGCTTTTCTTTTCTAAGATACTTTTGTTTAAGAGTGTTTGAACTTGCTGTTTCTTCTGCATAGCACATAGAATTCCAATGCTTGGCTCCTTCCCTTCAGTGGAATATTTTCTTCAGTGGAATATTATGAAATAGGTACTAGCAAAGTAGGGATGACAAACTTTTTTAAAAAAGAATTTGAGATATAATATATATTTTTGAATCTTCAAAATAGTCAACATGGGAAAAAAGGAATTTCTTTGTAAGTATTTTAACCTTGTCAAAATTCTAGAGTCAATTCTCAAGTATCTGCCTACTGTAGGTCAATTGTTTCATCTACTCTAACCCCCAAAAGAACCTAGTCTTGACGCTCCAAGTATTGTCCTTAGTCTAGTAGCATCTCCATTTCCTGGGAGCTTGCTGATATCTAGATTCTGGGTCCCCATCCTTTCTTACTGAATCAGAATCTTTAGTTCAACAAGATCCTCTGGTGATTTGCATGCACATTAAAATTTGAGATGAACTGCAGTAACCTGCTTTTCAAGGCATTTTTTTTTTAATTCCATTACATCATTCGCTACTGAATGAGCCTGCATTTGCATTCATTCATTATTTACCCTCCATTTCCATCTTCCACTCATTCCCCACTAGGCTGTAAGTTACGAAAGAGAAGATAAGTCCTCAAATATTTTTTGTAAGACATGAACAAAACACTCAGTAATTACTACAAGTGAATTCCTTGATGGATAACTTTCCACTCAAACATGGCCCCACTTTTATTTACACAATTTAAGCTATGTATTGGATGCCAGTGACTCAGTGTTTGATTCCTAAATCACCTGAGAAGGGTTAGTTGTCATATAGCAGGAGATGACTTTGACACATTTCTTAAAGATCCTTTGAATTTTTTATTCTTACTGAATTTCTTGTTTGCTCTGTATTGAATTCCTATTGTAGCTTCAATTAGTCCTCCTTGATCTAGACTCTGCTCTTTCAAGTCCAACCTTCAGATTAAGGATATGTCTGTGGTGCACTATGAAGGGCATGATTTGAATCAGAAAAACTACTATTTCTTAATTGTGCCACCTGGGAAGTTAATTATTCTCTGTTTGCTCCTCTCTCTGATGGGTAATAAAATTTGCTTCCAAAAGTCATCAAAAAGAGGATAAGGGTAAGTGAGCTCATGTATTTAAAGCATCTAGCAGAGCAAGCTGATCAGGAGGCTTTCTTTCCCTCTTCCCTTTCATGTCACTTTTTTGCCCAAGCAAATAATCGAAACAAAACAAACTGAAGACCTCAAAGCCCTTAAACATCTAAATGAACCACCCCCGCTCCCCCACCCAACCCATTTTCCACCTGAGTAAGACTGATAGTGGCTTCCTTCTGGTTGTTTCATTCCTGTGGTGTCTGAGGAATATTTCCTATATTCTCTAGCTACCTTGGTTGCATTTGCCCACCAAGGTTACTGGGTAAAAATTCCATCTTCAAGAAGTAATCCTGGAAAGATCACGTTCTTACTCACATAACTCTTATGGAGCCCACAGGTATTTAGAGTTTATTTCTTCAATTAATTATAAACTATTCTGTGTTTACAACTCTTGAATTATTTCTTATTTAATATCTTTCTTCCATCTGAGATATAAACTTTGTGAAGACTGGAATCATGCTTTATGTTTATTTATAACTTACAACGGGTGGCAAAGTACTGAGTTGTAAACCTTGTTGACTGATGCTCAAAATTTTTTCAGCTGCTCTAAAATTATTGCTGCTGATTCTGTCTGAATCACGTGATTTTCCTCTGGGAAATTTTAAATCTCAGTCTTGTTCTGGAATTTCTAGAGCAAGGGTCCCAAGTTCAAATGCTTATAGGATCTATGAAAGTTCATAAGTAAGAGGGGCCAGGTGTGAGAATTCAGAGATCAGTGGGAGACAGGGGTAACAGAAGCAAGAGTGCTGCCTTCGGGGTGAGCAGTACTCAGACCCAGCTAATTGTTGAATGTAGGAATTCGGGCTCACATTTTTACTTTGTTAAGAGAAATAAGGAATCTGGATATTTATGTCAAGTTTCTCCAATTTCTAACTTTGACAAATATTTCACAACAGTACAGGCCCAACCAGACATATTGGTGCAACAAGAAGAACATGTGATTCATTAGGGCAGTGGTTTGCAATCCTGGCTGCAAATCAGAGTTACCTAGTAAGCTTTGAAAAATCCTTATTTCCAAGCCACAGGCCAGGCCAATTAAATGAGAATCTCTGGGGCTGTGTCCCAGGTATCAATACTTTTTTTAATGCTACCAAGTTGATTCAATATGCAGCTAAATTTGAAAACCACTACGTTGGAGGCTTCAGTCTACCTTTCTCATTTTTTTTTTGTAAACTTAGGATTGGCATTATTTGTGAGGCCTCAGATGATCTTAGTATCACTGGATACCTTAATTATCAAGGACCTTAAAAAACTCTGTTCCACAACCTCTATGTCATTGGCCTAATGACGTCTATGTGGCGAAAGCTCTGGTGTCTTCAGCTAACTCCATTCAATCAGTTGTTCCACTCTATTGTTATCATGTAAAGAAAAAAGTCATATTTTTTTCTGTGTCTTAGAAGTAAATGCTAATTCATTGAATGAAATTAAATTTTTATAATATTATTTATATTTATTCTCAATAGTGTTTTCTGCTCTGTCATTTTTTTTTAAACCAGCTCTTTTGAGAATGAATAGTTTCAAATCATATGTCCAGGATAAAATAATTAGTATTGTAACTATTTTTGCAGTCCCAACACTAAAAATCATGTCTGCTAAAAGTGGCTTCCTAAAAGCTTAAAAACAAATATCTGCAGATCTATGGGACTAGACATATCCATAAAGACAATAGATAGAGATGGGGCATTACAATACATTAACTATAGTTCTCCATATTAATCTCCAAATTCTAACATTCCAACTCCCCTGTGGTTCATATACTCTGCTCTTTGACTTTCCAATCCAGCTCTGATGTTTCCTCTTCTTAAAGATTTTCCAAAATTTTTGTAGGTAGTCTTGCCCCACGACATTGAACTTATGTTATTCGTCTTTATTGTTCATCTCTTATGTAGCCCATAGGTTTCAGTCACATGGTTACGAATAAAGTAACTAGATACAATATTCTTCACCAGCATCTTGATCCCATGCTTTAAATAACTTGTCTTTCTTTTTTTAACGAAGCATTTATCTATTTTAATTGACAAATAACAATTGTGTACATTTATGTACAACATAATGTTTTAAAATATGTATACACTGCGGAATGGCTAAATAGAGCTAATTAACATTTGCATTACTTCACGTACTTACCATTTTTTACAGTAAGAGCTCTTAAAATCAACTCTCAGTGATTTTCAAGAATATAATGTAGTCGCCATGTTATACAACAGACCTCTTGAATTATTCTTCCTATCTAACTGAAATTTTGTATCTACTCTGTCTTCATTTTGGGCTGCAATTTTCTAGATTTTGGCAATGTAGGAATTGCTGGTAAACAGTAGATCTAAGGATTTTTACAACCTATGAAGACATTTCATTTGGTTTGTGAAATCATTGTGTAGCAAGGAAACCATTATGCCTCTGGAAAACTTTATGACAATTTAAGAAATATAGAGAATAATAAACAAATGCTTGAAGAGAGAAACATTCCTATACTCACTCATTGTAAGATACTAAAATCAGAATTAAATGGAAACACAACTGATGTAACATTTTAACAATTTGAACAATTATGATGGAATGATGAAGTTTCTTTCAAAAGAGATGTGATAATTATAAGGGATCCCAGAAATTTAAACTGTTTATTACCAAGACTCAATTAGTGTTAGTTAGGTTACCTGGATATGTGTAGTAACATTTTTAACTAGTTAAAGGAAAATATATGTGTATATATAAGGCTATAGAAAGGACATAGCAAATTAACATTGTATTTTAGTTTGTTTTAGAGAAGTAATGAAGCATGAGCGAAATTCCTATCTTTAGACTTCTCCTAGCTTAATGTTCCAAGTATATTTTAATTTACAGATTGATTCATGATAGCCAAGTCTTCCTATATCTAATTTGAAGTATTCTCAAAGAGATTCACAATTAGATTCTTAGTAGTTTAAGTCTTATTCTATTATCAATCACTTTTTAAGTTTAACTTTATGTGTGTGTATTACATTTTATCTCCCACTAGATTATAAATTCCTTGAATTACCATATCATTTATATTTCTCTTCCCCTCTGTGCCTAGCACAGTGTTCTGCATGTGGTAGGTACTAATTAAATGCTCTCTACATATATAATTAATTTTAACGTATAATATACAGGTTTATAATGGCTTGAAATTACCCAGCTTATTGTTGAGATGAAATAAAAGGAGTCTATTTTAAGTACCACACAAGAAACACCGGCAGAAGAAATAATAAAGATAAGAAACAAAGACTTACTCTGTAGTCACTTGATGTCACATAAAATATAGGAAGGAAGGCCAACCAGATGATGCACGTGGTGTACATGGTAAAACCTATGAACTTAGCTTCGTTGAAATTTTCTGGGCACTTCCGCGTTTTGAAGGCATACACAGTGCATAAGATCACCAGGATCACATCGTAGGTAAGAGAGATCAACATGCTGGAATCTTTGACATTGCATTTTAGGATGACTGTTTCCCGCTTCTCTGCAAGGGTATACCTCCTGGTGCCTGGGGGCTCCAGGATGAGCCACACAGACACCATCACAATTTGCACCAGTATCAGACCCAGACAGATGAAAACCTGAGAACTGGGGCTGATAAATTTTGGCCTCTGAGCGCCATTCTTGACCCCATCGAAGATGCGGGCAATGCAGTTTGTCTTGGTCAGCAGGGCTGAGTAACAGATAGCGAAGGAACTCCCCAGCCCAAGTCGGCGCAATGCACAGATGACTGGTGATGGCTTGGCAATGAAGAAGAATGTCATGCAGTATGACAGGCCAACCCCAAACAATAAGATGTAGCAGAGTTCTCGGCCCGATGCTTTGACCAAGGGCGTGTTGTTGTGCTTCATAAAAACAGTTACAACCATGCAAGTACACATAAAACCCAGACAGGCAATGGTGACGGGGCCGATGGCCCAGGCGTCTTCCCACCTGATGTAGTCCTCAGGAAGGTCATAGCATCCAGTTAGGTCTGCAGTGGGCCACTGCCCAGGCCCACAGTCCATACAGGTAAACTCATCAGCAAGGTATTCGTAGGACTCACAGGGGATGCAAATCCAGCAGCAGACATCCCCTGGTTGCATGTTCTTCATTTCATTGGGGGCACAGGGGTCGCTGCACTGGGAAGTGGGGACAGAGTTCCGGGACCAGTGGATAGAGTCGACATCTAGCGATAAGGTTTCCGCCCAGTGACCAACTTTCAAGTAGGAATACTTTCCACCTACATACTGGAAATTGAACACGTTGTATCGCCCCATTCCATCTCCAAAAGTGTCAAACTTGACTATGCTATCTGCATCTTTATTTGGGTTGAATGGAGCTGTGATATATAAAGTGAAAGAAAAAGAAAGAACACTTGTTTAGGTGTCTTATGTGTGATTAGTCAATTACTTTATGTCATACACTGAAATAACAGGAAATGGAGATTCCAAGGCTGAAATAATTTATCAGTTACCATTGAAAGTTACACTTCAAAAGCTACTAGAGTGCTCATGCATTCATAAATTAATTCACTTACCATTATTGGGTGTCAAAGGGTGCCAAGTACCAGTGATAATCATGAATACAACCCAATGCTTATTATGCAACAGGGGGACTTACAAACATGTAGTCATATGTTATGTGGTAGACATGTATTCTCTTCTTGAAAGAATTCAAGATAAGAATTGGGCAAAACATTGTGTCTCATTCTTATTATGTGTTTATTTATGTACAGCCAATAAAAGGTTTCCCTTCTTAAATATTTTCATTAAAATATAAAACAGGAAGAATTTTTCTCCTTCAAAATGAACATTTTTATTATAGATATATGATATTGTTCTTTTCAATAGTTCAGATGACTCAGAAAGAAAAAAATTAAAACTACTCATAATTCTTCAACCCTAATAGTTTAATATTTTGGATATTAAATTTAATATTAATATTCTGACTACATATATGCATGTGTCTATACACAGCATGCTCATATTCATACAAATAGATACAACCTGTCTGTATGTAGAATCTAGGTAAATAGATTTTGAAATTTCCTAAGTGAATACAGGGCCAGTAGCACTCAGCCAAATGAGCTGTCCTCAACCCTGTCTCTTTCTTACAGTTCTCTGCAAGTCCCTAAGAACAGAAGCTCTCTGAGCACACATACTTCCTCTCTTCCAGCTGCTGCTCATCGTGTCTGTCTTGCCAACATACACTACCCCTCTGATCACTCATTTCTATGCCACATGCTCTGTTCTACTACTGTGTGCTGCCATTTCACTGCCAGTCTTTACTCTCTCCTTAGAATTAGAACACAAAGGTTGCTGATACCTATGTGATGCACGGAAAAACTCTGTCTAGTCCTGGTAGGCTTGCCTGTGTTGGTAAATAGACCCCAAGCTGTTTATTTCTCCCTCATGTAGCAGTCTAAGATTTTGGTTGGTGGGTGTCTCTTCCTCATCTGGTGATTCAGAAACCTAGGGCCCTTCCATCTTGAAGCTGTGCCACTGTCTAGGCCCTCCTCTTCATCAGCACCCACCCAACAGAAAGAGAAAGAGAGTATGAAGAAGGTATGGCACATATTTCCATTCATACTTCATTGATTAGGAATTAGTCACAGGGACACACAACCTTAAAAGAGGCTGTAACATGTAGTTTAGCTAATGTGCTCAGCTACTTTCATACTATGAAAAGAGAGATTGGGATTTAGACGACACTGCAGTGTTTGACCCTGTGGGTATTAGCTGTCTTCGTTGCCTCCCCTGTGAGCTTTACTCCACCTTCTCTGAGGGTCATGCTGCTCTAGCTTATAGGGAAATCCTGTCCAGGACACACTGTTTAGGGGAAACTGGGTCCAGTTATTCTATGGGGCAAAAGAATCCTTCAATGAATCACTTGGGCTCTTGGTAAAAGAGGACTTTATATTTTACAAAATAGCCCTCTCCTGTCTAAAGGGTATAGGTGCCCCTAGAGGAATGAGTTGGGTAGCTTATAATAAAACCTCATACTAGATACAAGTTCCGTTAGAAACATAATATGCCAAATTTCTTACTCACTTATTGTTATTATTTCTTTTTAATGTTCTTGTTATCTCACCCTGCAATTTGACTTTACCAACCTTCACCTCCTTTCTGTCACATTTCACAAACCCATCACATATATCTGTTTGTGTGTCTGTACTCCAGTTATGAATTGATTTCAATTTCATCGTAAGACAGGGTGATGTAGTAGTTAAGTGTATAGTTTTGAGGTTAGATGGATTTTGTGTGATTTTCATTTCTGCCTTTTAATAATTGTGTGTCCTTCAACAAGTTAATGTTTCTGTCTCTGTTTCCTAATTTGCAAATTGGGAATAAGAGTGCTTTTGAATATTTGATGAGATAAACCCTATAACATGTTAAGCACAATGGCTGGTACACAGTAAGCACTTAACATATATGTTAGTGATGATGATGATGATGATGATAAAAATAATAAAATAAAAGAACTTTATGAAAAAGGGGAGCTGCTCATAAAAGTGAGACATACTGAGGGACATGGAGGGTAAAGATGAGAGGAGGGAGATGCTCTTCAATTCTACCAACTGCTTTATCCAAACCTCACTTCTGACCCAGTCAGGACCGTGCTCCTCCATCCTTTTCCCCACACTTCTGTTAGTAAGCATGATTATACTTGGCTATTGTTTTGTAATGTATATTTTTAATTAGTGAAGTATTGGGAATTTTTAAAAATTGATTTCTTTTAATAAATATCTTTGTTTTCAATAGCTGTATGCTATTATATTGTATATAAGTACCAAGCTATATTTAAATACTCCTATAGTTTTAACATTTAGGTTGCTCCTAAGGTTTTCCCTTTATAAACCTCATCATCTAGTTATTTACTTAGAGTAAATTCATAGAAGAAAAACTGTTGGGTCAAGGTGTAGGTTCTTTAAAAATTTAGCTACAGAGTGCCAGGTTGCCAAGGAAAGGTGTTTTGTTGTTGTTTGTTTGTTGTTTTGGTTTTTGTTTTTACCAATTAACACTCCCATGAACATTGTATAGGAATACTCATTATCCACAATCTTACTAACCTTATGTATTTTTATCTTTTTAATAATTGACAAACTGACAGGCAAAAATATGATCTTATTTTAATCAATATTTATTCATTTGACTTTTATAGAGGCTGGCTATATTTTAATATTTTAAAAAATTATGTGTAGTTATTTTGTGAATTTCTGGTTCATGTACTTTTTACTTGCTTTCTTTTGAGGCGTTTACATATTTTCTTAAATTAATATGTAGGCTGGGCGCAGTGGCTCACATCTGTTATCCCAGCACTTTGGAAGGATGAGGTGGGTGGATCATTTGAGCTCAGGAGTTCAGGGCCAGCCTGGGCAATGTGATAAAATCCCATCTCTACCTAAAATACAAAAAATTGGTGGGCTTTAGTGGCACATGCCTGTGGTGCCAGCTACTTGGGAGGCTGAGGTGGGAGAATTGCTTAAGCCTGGGAGACAGAGGTTGCAGTGAGCCAAGATTGTGTCACTATACTCCAACCTGGGTCACAGAGTGAGATCCCATCTCAAAAAAAAAAAAAAAAAAAGAGCTGTATATGGATTGAACATGTTAGCTGCTTGTCATATATATATATGGAAAGATTCTTCTAACTTTGTGCTTTTTCCCAGATTGCTAAAATCTTAGGTAACTGAGTTTATAAATCTCTTTCTTACAATTTCTGGTTTACCTATCAGCCCCCAAAAAAACCTTTCCTACTCCAAGATTATTAAAATATTTATCTAAACTGTTTTCTTTTACTTTTATGGTTTTCTTTTTTATATTCGAAAATTTATTTCACTTCAAATTTAGTGTAAAGTATGAGTTAAGATTTTAATTCATTTTTTTCTCAAATGGCTAACCATTTAAATACTAAATAATAAAATACCGTATACCTTTTAAAATTTATATTACCATACAATAATTTAGACTGTAAGTGAGAATTATAAAATAAAATACAGTATACCTTTTAAAATTTATATTACCATACAATAATTTAGGCTGTAAGTGAGAATTATAAAATACTTAATAAGTTAATCATTTCTACTGATTTATAATATTTGTCATATATTAAATCCACTGATACTCAAATCTTTATACTATTTGTTGCTTTTCTTGGTCTCTTTCCACAGTGGTATGGTCTTTTTACAACTATCACAGCATTATTCTAAATTTTAGTATTGGTTAGGACAATAGAAGTTGAAACATTATTACTATATTTTCAGGTATATTAATCAACAGCAAAATTCTTATGTCATGTAAAACTAAATTTGTTTATTCTAGGATTAGAAAAAGTTCATTGTGAATTTTAGGAACTACTTTCATATATTACAAATAAGAAAAATACTGAATTTTTAAACTTGTTTTATAGCATACTTGAGAACCATTCTTTCTGTGTTATGAATTTCATGGTTCTCAAGTGTGCACCCAACCTCCACCAATGTTCAGTTAATGTTATTAGATAATTTCTGGAAAACATTTCTAAAAAAATGTTTTATATCTTTAAATATTTCACTGTTCTCATAGCAATTTTTGAATACAAAATTCTTAAAATTAGTATATTTAACAAACAGTAAAACTGATAGAGACTAAAACAACCAGAGATTTAAAAAAAAAAATTGGAGAAAGTAGAGCAATGCAGGGTGTAAAAGTCAAAGTCTTCAAAACATTAATAGGCTCAAAAGAGATAAGTGAAGATATTGTATCCATGAGATAGGCACAAGAAATCCTTAAAAATGAATATTCAGAGAACAATAATGATCTTTTAGAAGTGAAATAGCAGAAATAGAAATTTAATACAAAGACTGAAACATAAATTTGAGAAAAATCTCAGTTTGACCAAAATGCTTTGATGGCAAGGAGAACATACAATATGTAAAGAATTACTCTGTGGAATTTCAACATGTGACCAACAAGAGCTCCAGAAAGAGAAAATAGAGGGTGAACATTATTGAAAGGCAAAGTGAACACCAGTGGAGAGAAGACTTGGCTCAGGGCAGGGCGAAGCAAGAAACTTTTCTGATTTCTTATAAGTCTGTTGTATTCATGTAAAAACCATGTATGTGTATTATTCTGATAAAAAAAGAAATTATAAAGTTAAAATAGTATAAAGACAATTAAGCAAGTTCAGGCAGAATAGGTTTAAAGTAAATAAATTATTAACATAATGCAGCTGCAAATATTGGAACAAGTGCTTGAAAAGTGGGTGGTGAATAAATGCTACTTTTGGTGGAATTTTGTTCTTTAATACATTTACCTTTTACTAACTTAGTTTTGTTAAGTGTGTAAAATATGTAACAAAATG